ATTCTTAATATGTGAATGGAGGCATTTACGAAGTTTTAATTAAAATGTTAACTTTTCAGAGCTTTTATTAGCTTCCTCAAAAAAATACACACGGAGACAAAATGAAATAAAAACACAATTACGAAAGGTAAAGGAGATTGAGACTTGAACTCAGATCCACGAAATCTTTCTGGAAAGTTAAATCAAATTCCCTGTCAGTTTAATTTTACATAGTCTTTTAAAAAGTATCGACTATTTTTAAAAATCAAATAAACAAAAATTATTCAATATACAGTAGAATCCCTGACAACCGGGCGAAGGATGTTATATATTTTATAGTAAACAAAATAAGTCCATATTGAGTAAAATATAATGGAATTGATTTTAAGGAAAAAGAAATAAATTATGTAATGTTAATGAAAATTCATTAAATTAAGTATGCCACGTATGCAAAACAAATAATGTAACGATTATCTTTTAATCGTTGTTGCATGATGATTCTTTCTCTTCTAATGTCATTCTCAGATTTTTTTTTTTCACATTTCTTTCTGCTTTTGTTCTTGAAATTTTTTAAACAAAACACTTTTTTTAACTCAGTGTGCGTTATTGAAATCGTCATAACTGAATGCTGGCTTTCTTTCCATAAAACTGACAACCTTTTCAATAGCCACTTTCACTTACAGTCCAGGTTTCCTCACAATCATGCATCTCGTCGCTATCTTGTTGTAGATGTGTCTCGTTGTCATCTTTTCCTCTTATTCTCATCATCTTTTGCACCAATATAATTTATTATGGTGAAATAAGCATAAGCAATTATCCAAATTAAATTTCCTGAATTAACAAAAACTTCAAGTCGATTACATATCATCCAAATACTTCAAATATACACATCAAAATCATGTCCGAATATGCTGTATTAACATATACGATGCATTATGTATAGAAACACTTAAATATTAAGAGTGAGGCAGATGTTTCGAGGTTAGGAAGATTGACATGAAATTTGGATGGTAAGTAGAATCTCTATTTTCATGATACAGTGTTGATTTATTTTGTTACATATTTTAAATTTAACTTAATTTTCAGTCCAGTTACGTTAATTTGTATATGTAAAAAAATCTTAAAGAATCCGGATGACTTCAGGTCTTTCTATTCCGACAAAACATAGACTTTGTGTAATTTCATTATTGTTTCATGAATGAAATACTTCATTGGTGTCTTTGTAGTTAATGCGAGATGTCGCTTCTATTTACACTAAAAACCTAAGACTTAACACCAAAAACTTTTGAAATAACGCTTGTCTCTATTAAATGAGGTTTCCTTACAGCAAGATATATGTGCAAAGAATGTGTTTGCCTTTACTCAAAAATGGTGGCTTATGACCCTATAACGTTGAAACACCGGTTTCCCTATGATCGCCGAAGACACATCGATCCGGATCAGTACTTAGATGGGTGAACGTTTGGGAATACGAGGTGCTATAAAAATAGATATGCGACAAGATTAAAGGATAATGGTTGAGAATTGGTAACCGGAGAGAAATTACAGTTTGGTTCATTATATTCACCCCTGGGAAAGGTATGGATCAACAGCTTCTCTCCGACACAGTTATAGGGCAATTAGCAAGTCTTGTAACACTAAATTATGTAAAAAATATCTTAGAATCTAAAACTATTTTCTGGCTTTGAATAACGTGAAAATGTTTGATATTCTGATGAAAACTAATCCCCTGATTCAAGTCAAATAAACCAAAATTGGTATTTAATTAGAATATCGATGCAACATGGTTTTTGCTATGGTTGTACATTCACCAACGTGTGATTGAGCCTCCACGATTCTGCAGAGACCTTCTAGCCAACAGTTTTTCGGAAATCCCTATATTGTTCAGTGTCCATCTCAAACAATATGGACGAGGATTTGGAATTTGCGAGACAGTGATAAGAAATAGTCTCCGACAACTTCTGGCAACTGAAGAACATCCGGGCATCGCTAACCGTTGAGCTTCTTTTAAAACTACAGCTATTCAGTTCTCTTGTTCAATCGATATTGCTTTACGGCTCCTAATCTTGGGAAGTAAGTAAAAAAAAAAAAAAAAAGAAAAAAAAAAAAAAGAAAATCTGTGAAGCTGCCGAATTCGTTTGGAACAACTTGTTACCGTTATATGCTGGGGGCTAAAAGAACCAAACACATCAGAAACGATGATATCCTGCGAAGAATCAACCGACAACCTTTAAGCGCGAGAACTACCGGCCTTAGGAGACTGTTTTATGCCAAGCAACAAACCTGTATAAAGATTCTAAATAATCAGAGCATTGCAAAAACAAGAGGAGATAACCCAAGAATGATCTACATAAAAAACACAGACAATACCTCACACCGATAACAGATGCGTAACTGTGGATATAGTTTTATTGAACAGAGACGAAGCGTGGTCGCACTGTATGACTCACAGATTCTTGATTAAAGAGAGAAGAATTTCAGAAACCTATTCGTCACATCTTAGAAGAGACAAACATTTTTTGAAGCTAAGAAAACATCAGTCGACATCGTTATAGCTATTTGTACTAATGAGTCATTATTATAAATCAATATTTGTTACTCTTTTGCACTTATGTTGGACAGTCCGATTTAACAGATATATTGTGGAAAGGAGTGTCTGAAAATCAATCAGACCGCAAAATATTACTCATCACACTGGGGTGAGATTCAATCACACCACTGTTAAATAATTTATTATAATGAAGAACCGTACTTAAGTAGAATATACGAGAAACCAAAATCTATCATCCTGGTAACTGTTTTTTTTTTCATTTGAATGGATTTTAATACAAAGGAAAAGTTAATTTTTGAAAAGTATTTCCACTCTTAAAGATCTCTTTCATGAAAAGAGTGATCATTTTAACTTGAATCTGCACAGATGCATCCGTAATAAAAATTTTAACAAATTGTTGTATGTTTGTGGAAGAAGATGTTCAATATTATGGAGAGTGCACTTGTAGATATGATTAATAATAGGCTAGGAAACTTGACCGAAAACACTAAACAAGTTATAATCAATAACCCAAGTATCTAAATCATTTTTTCAACTACAAATATTTGCAATCAAACTATAAATTGAATAAATAAATAAAATAAGAAGTATTGTATAATAATAAATACAAAGACTATATAATAATATTAAATAAGAAATAAATTTATAAGATTAAATAGGAAGAAATATAATAGCATTAAATAAATATGAAGAAACATTATATTAAATAAGAAACAACATAATATTAAATAAGTACGAAGAAGCATATGATATTAAATAAATAAGAAGCATATGATATTAAATAAGAACCACCATATAATGATATTAAATAAGAACCACCATATAATGACATTAAGTAAGAACCACCATATAATGACATTAAGTAAGAACCACCATATAATGACATTAAATAAGAACCACCATATAATGACATTAAATAAGAACCACCATATAATGACATTAAATAAGAACCACCATATAATGATATTAAATAAGAACCACCATATAATGATATTAAGTAAGAACCACCATATAATGATATTAAATAAACACAAAGAACTATAAAATATAAAATATTAAATAGGAAGAAAGAGGAAAAACAATGCAACAATATTACATAAATAGGAAGAACCATGTAATAATCTTACTTAAATACCATATAATAATCTTACTTAAATACGAAAAACCATGTCATTACGGAAGAACCATGTAACTATATTAAATAAAAAAATTATAATAATGTTAATAAAAAAACAAACCATATAATATATACATACAATAAGAAAGTGTGGGGTTTGTTTGTTCTTGTTGTTGTGTGTGTTTTTGTTTTGTTTTTTTTCAAAAAAAAAACAAAAAAACACGTAATCTAATGACTGGGAATTAGTCAGTCCATTCTGAATAAAATAGGTTTCGTAAGGTTGGGAATTAAATTCAATCATCCGTAGCAGAAAAAAGGCTAAAAACAAAAAACACTCAAGTTAGCAATGAAAAGTAATACAAATTAAAATAGAGTAATATAATTGGAAACCACTATCCAGTGAGGAAGGACTTACAGAACGAAAGAATAGTGAATAGAAGAGATAAAGAGAATATTGAGTTATTGATCAAAGAAAATCAAGTCATATATTTATTATTAAAAAGTTACAATAATTATCACACAAGGCCGAAATGACTGCTTATCATTAATTACCCTGTAGCTAGCTAATCCGATTCCTGACTCATTACAAGTAACATATATACCACAAGTTGTCAGCCTTCACCTTTTACTCCTACATATACCGCAATACCGCATCAACAAAGGGGACCTAGAGAAACACTCCGCGATTTAAAAATTTCTAATGTACAAATGCTCCTAGACAATATGTATATAAAAATTTACAGATGGTATGAAATGAAGGGAAGGGCATGAATACCCCATTACAAACTAAAATATAACAAAATATCGAACAGAAAACAGATGTTAGTAGGACCAGTTCGCCCCAATAAAAATAAGACTGGCTGCTGTAGTCTGTCGTCTAACAGAATCAAGAAGCTAATTCTTTAACGGAGTGGGAAGGATATGGGCGTGGGGGAGATAAAAAAAATCCAGTCAAGAAAGAAGACTGAATTCGAACAGGTTTTTTTTTTAATAACAAACCGATGATACGTGATTGCTTAATGGAGATGTGTTTCTTTTAAGCTTATCAAGGATCTGTTCATCCCACCTTATTTCAGCCAGACAGACATTTTAACGTTAAGGTTAACGTACGGTTTCCAGAAAAACATAAATAAGAAAAAAGATATTAAATAGACAAAGAAGAAAAATATAGATAATAATAATAAATAAATAACCGGTCTCTTCTCCAAGATTGGCTACTACGTCTATGTTTGCTCTCCCAAGATTGGCTACTGTGTCTATGTTTGCTCTCCCAAGATTGGCTACTACGTCTATGTTTGCTCTCCCAAGATTGGCTACTACGTCTATGGTTGTTCTCCCAAGATTGGCTACTACATGTATGGTTGCTCTCCCAAGATTGGCTACTACGTCTATGGTGGCTCTCCCAAGATTGGCTACTACGTCTATGTTTGCTCTCCTAAGATTGGCTACTACGTCTATGTTTGCTCTCCCACGATTGGCTACTACGTCTATGTTTGCTCTCCCAAGATTGGCTACTACGTCTATGTTTGCTCTCCCAAGATTGGCTACTACATGTATGGTTGCTCTCCCAAGATTGGCTACTACGTCTATGGTTGCTCTCCCAAGATTGGCTACTACGTCTATGTTTGCTCTCCTAAGATTGGCTACTACGTCTATGTTTGCTCTCCCACTATTGGCTACTACGTCTATGTTTGCTCTCCAAAGATGGGCTACTACGTCTATGTTTGCTCTCCCAAGATTGGCTACTACGTCTATGTTTGCTCTCCAAAGATTGGCTACTACGTCTATGGTTGCTCTCCCAAGATTGGCTACTACGTCTATGTGCCGCGTCCCTTCAGAACATAGGAAGCAGTTTTCTCCCTTTGCTAACGCGGACACGCCCGATTCCGTCATCCATTTTCACAATTTCGTCAGGTAAGAGTCATGATGATTTTCCCTCTCTCTCGTACTCTCAGTCTACCCCGTGAGTGTTATGCTTTCTAAGCTCTCTTTCCTCATCATGTATCCAAGGAATTTCAGCTGTTTTACTGATTTTAAGTATTACTATTCTTTCTGATGCCATTTTTCTTAAGTCGTCTTTGTTGCTTACTCGCCGCGTCAATGGATTTTCAGTAGCTTTTTGTAGAACCACATTTCGCCTGCTACGGGTTTTTTTTTCCTCATTCGTGTGGAAATTGTCCAACATTCTGACGTAAAAGAAGATGGATGCCACACAGCAATACAGCATTCGTTCCCTTGCTTCCAACGATTTTTTTTCCGTTTCCCAGCATCTTGCTTGGCTTTTGGAACGTCTTTTTGACTTGTCCAATGCGTGTTCGGATCTGGGTGTCGATTGGCTACCATTCAGAATATAATGATATTAAATAAATACGACGCACTATATAGCGTTAAATAGAAAGAAAGAGGAAAAAAACAATGCAACAATATTACATAAATAGGAAGAACCATATTGTATATTACTTCAATACAAAAAACCACAGAATTGTAGAAGAACCATATATAA